CAGAAGAGTGGGGCCCAACCATTAAAAGTTGGGTTTGTCCTGTGTCCTGTGAATTAATTGACTGTCCTGATCTCACCTCTTTCATTCTTTCTCTGCATAGTCTGTACTGCTTTTTCTGTGTGTCCAAGAAGGTGGTCAGTTCCTTCTTCTGCTGGACCAAGATCTGTTGCTGGATTCTCTTCTCCTCAGCTGCCGAGGCCTTCGTCTTTTGAGAGACAAAATGAAAAAACATCTGGTTTTGCAACATTAATCATTTACAAATGAATCACGTAGGGCCAAGGGAGGATAAGTATCACAAAAAAGCTTACTGTGGTCAGCTGTGCATTAGTAAACTGACAATATTTTGTCATCATGGTGATTTGCTATATTGAATAAACATACAATAGGTGTATGTTTTGTAAACTAAGTCATTTCATCAAAATCTGTTTAAAATAATTCATGTAATCCACATATAGCGGCATACAAAAGTCTGAGACCACTAGTGAAAATCCTTTTGTATAATAATTTAATACAGTTTATTTTGATTACAAATTCTAAAAAAAAAATTTGAACTGCATAGTATTTTCACCTTTTGTTTAAATCACAGCAGCCTCGAGCTGCTTGAAATCCACAAGTTTGTTGATTTGAGATGATCCAAAGAGATTCTTGAGCTTCAATGGAAGCAAGAACATCTGATCACCTGTACAAAGGAGTTCAAGTGATCAATGTCACAAATTTGCTTATTTGATAATACTGAAAATACTGAAAAACTTAAATATTTCCAATTAATTTTAATTCATAACCTTTATTTGTTTTACGTTTTTCATAATTCTAAAACTTTCTGTTTATTTCCAGGTTCAAATGAGATTTTCCATTCCAAATTTTTACTGTGGTCTTCAACTTTTGGACCCCACTGCATGTTCACAGTAGCAACTTACAGAAAAAATGTGATATCTTGTAAACTTTGCATAACCCTCTCCACTATGTGTAAAGTACAGTATGAGCAAGCACCTCCTTGTCCAGTTGAGCAGCTTGCTTCTTGGCCAGCCGCTCCAGTTCAATGTAAGTGTTATTGGCCTGGGTCTCCACTTCCTTCTGCAGCCGGAGCTTGTGCTCATCCATCTCAGCCTTTAGCCTGTTCTCCAGGGCGATCAGCTGCTTCTGGTGCTGCCGCCGCATGCGCTTATACCCTGACATCTGCTCACGCCGCACAGCTTCCTGCTCATGCTCCTGGATCTGCTCACTGACCTGCAAACACAGTGTGTTGGGGGGTCAAAGGTCACGTAAGCCAAGCAAGATTATTTTCTCTTTGCACCTTTTAAACCACAAGATGTAAGATATTAATTTAAGATAAAGATGTTCATTGTTCCCATTTAAGTTACCAATTACTTGCATCTTCATTATATTGACCAATTCTGTAAAGTGACTTTCTAGTCATTTCTGTCATATTATGATTAATTCAGAATTTTCTAAATTGAAAACATATGTAACCTTATATACCATATGTATGTAAATGATTATATAACCAATAAAAATGAGAGCATGCATCATTTTGTTTAATGCTGTGTTTATTTGCTCCATCAGAGCAACTGCGTATAATGATATGTTTTGATATATAAGCTTTTAAATTTGCCTTCATCAATTTTTCTTTTTTTTTTCACAACTAGCATAATGTTATAGAGTGTATCACTCATTAAACTTTAAAAAATCTGAAACGTCCATATATAAATTTTGGGCAACAGGAGCTACTGAATACATTAAAAGTTGATGCATAATGTGTAGTATAGTGTTTATCAGTATCAGGATTTTAGGTTAAAATGAATATGTATGCATAAGAAAAAGTAAATATATTGTGATTTCACTGTTTAGTGTTTTACTAATTCACATTATTGATTAGTTCATTTTAAATCAACCCTTAGTTTTTACAGTACAAATATACCATGTAGTTTGTCATTTAATTAGAGATCATAAAACCTGCATGCATACAAAAAATAATTAGATAAAATAAAATGATTAAATGCATGTTACACAGCTCATGTCAGCTATAAGTATATAGGTTCATATAATTTTACATTGAAGAAAAATATGATTTTGGAGCTAATCAGATTCATCTTGATGGGTTGAACACACTGTGTCTGAGTAAAATATAATCATTATAATAGTGTCACTAACTGAATCAAAATGCCAATATGAAAGCAAATAATTATGTTCTTTTAACGAACATGTAGCCTACTAACCTCTCTCTCTGTATATATAAAACCCTTGACTTAGTTTGCATTCTGGAAAGGAATCTATATATATATATATATGTGGGGGGGGGGGGTTACTGTACATAATGTACAGCTCCAGAAAAGAGCTCTAAATCACAACAAAATTAATATCTTTACAAAAAAAAGCCGGAAAATAAGCCTGCGCTCCAGAGACAGAAAGACATGGGGGGGGGGGGGGGTTAAAAAGCGCTTATTAACAGGATGTGGTTGCCATGGTTACTGATGTGGGGTTGAGTGGATGACCATGGCAGGCCTGCATTTCTTATGCAAAAACGGCGAGCAGAAGAGGAGAGATAGGCTGCCTACCAAATATGCTGATGTGATGATGGCAAAGCGTTGGCGGATGCTGCTGCTGCTGCTGCTGCTGCGATGATGGCGAGCCCGGCTCTTGTGAAAAGAAGAAGGCCGCAGCTCTGGCCTGATGTCCCTGTCTCCAGCCTCATCCCTCACGCAAGCATGCTTCTGCAGGGGGGGAGGAAAAGACGAAGTGAGTGGGGGTGGGCGCTAACCGAGCGCCCTGCTGCTGATGCTGAGGATGAGGATGATGCCGCTGCGTCTCCCTGCTGCCCGCAAACAGCCTGCTGCTTCCAGCGCATCCTCTTCACCCTTCATCTGTTACTGGCGTATGTCGTTCACAGGTGCCTGCAAAAGGCACAGCATCGCGATGGATGGCGCGCGAGTCGCTCTGTTCGGCGAGAGCGGGAGTCCGTAGCCTCTCTTCAGACTAGCGGCTGCACTTCCTGAGAAGAAAGAGGAGGAGGAGGAGGAGGAAGCATACAGATCCGGTGGGATAGAGTGAGTTACGCACGGTTACGCAATGCCTACCACGGGCAATCAGCGGAAAGAGTGTGCGCGCGCGTGCATGCGTCTTAAACTTTTATCGTTTCTAACTCTACATACTTAAAGGTGCAGTCAGTGTTTGTTTATTATTTGTGTTTGTTTTTGATTTGTTGCTAATTAAAAGTTGTACGTGTAAAGAATCAATAGCCTAGGACTTTTGAGAAATGTGATTAAAATTACATAGGCTACACACTTACAATTAGTGTCATTTCAGTATTAGGCTACGTGTCCCCCGTTGAGTGAATAATCCGCTGTTTCACGCAATCGATCAAATTACTAATCATAATAATATAAAATATAATAAATAAGGAAATAAAAAAAAAAACAATGACCTGCAGCATTTGAGGAAATTGCCACGAACACAGGTGCGTCATCACAGCAAAATGCCTAAAGCATCAACACACAATATGAACAAGCTAAAAAAAACTATTTGCGTGCAATTCATTAACATGTCAACAGTTTGTCATACATGTTTATGAGTTCTTACTTCTTACACAATATCAAGATTCACCTCACTGAATTATAGGAGAGCTATGCTTATGTATTGCAATTATCATTATTCTTAACTCTGGTGCAACCGTGTCAAATTCTACGTAAAATATTTTGAGGTGAGTTTAGCCTAATATGTAATTATGAGAAATACATAAAAGAGACTGGGGGATTTCCTTAGGCTCTCAAGTAAAGCATTTCCTGTGTGGTTTAGAGGTTAAGAGAAATTGTCTTTGATCTTTTTGCCCCACATATAAAATGCAGACCTGTCTGACACTCAAAAGCATGAATTCTGCTGAATTAACACTAGCACCATTCCAGTGACTGAGTTACAAACATTCCAGAGTTGACTGAAGTTGATAAACATTTGAAGGGGCAGAAGGTGCCCCCATGCTGAGACTGGGCTGACACACACCCATGCACATCCAAAACCCAGGATGTTAAATCAACAACAGATACAGGAGAAAGTGACCACAGTCAGCAAACAACACTTCCAATGTATCCTCATTCCTTCCGCACTCTACCTATTGTGCATGATTTTTGGTAAGAATTGTGGAAAGTACCAGGTACTGAACTATTACCTGTGTTTTGCTGAGAAGACACTGATTTCCCCTGTGACACTGACACAACTTACCACATCAGTGCCACACTTATGCTTGAACAGGCAGACTTCTTACCAAAGAAATGACATGTATTTGTCTAAGCATATAAATGTTTTTTTGTTTTTTTTTGCATTTGTGGCTGTGAGATCAGACTTTAATTGGGGGACTATATGATGTTTGTGCAAGTTCTAAACTTTTGGCTCTGGGATTTCCCTTGTAGTCATAAGGGGTAAAAATAAAGCTTAGCTCAGATAACATCAGATGTGATTTTCTGTCCACATAAGGCATTCTACATGCAATAAATGCGCAATTGCATCACACAATAGTTGAATAAAAGTGCAGGCAAATCAAAGCACAGCAACGTTTTCGTCATCTTCCTTCCTTGTCTGAAGTTGATAGGTGGCTGAAATTCCAAACCTTGCGTCAAAAGATCGAAAGGTGTCAGTGAAAATCTAGTTGAGAAACTACCTTCCTATTAAAAGACCACTTCCTGTTGAACCAACAACGGACAGAGTTCAGAGCAAGGGTGGAAGAGCGCTGTGTTGGACTGGTTATTTTTCTACTTTTTGCTGAGGATATGTAAAAATGTTCAAAAAGTGTGATCTCAAAATGCAAGAGTATATTTGCATAAAAAAATAAATCTCAATGTAGATAATGAAATTAGATGATGAGAGATGAGATGTTGTCGTGTGGCATTGTGCAACATCAAAATCTTTTTTTTTAAGATTTCAGAGGAAACAATAAAATTACATTTTTACTTATAAGCTCATTTGACGTAATGACGGTTGAATAAATAGAGATGATTGCTCAACCTATCCAGACTCTGCATCACATAAGGAGATGCATCTACACAAAAACTGGGTGGCAGCTAAAGAAGGAGGGAGCATTACACATAGTACATGTGATAATGAAGACGCAAAAAGAAAAAAAAAATTCTGGGAACTCTTGTTGCCTCAGAAAGCTGGCCGCGTCATTTCCTTCCAATGACAAATGTGTGGTTTCAGTCTTTAAAAACTTTTTCAGAGTTATGATCATGACCAGTTTGAAACTTTGTCTGTGAAAGGAGAATGAATTGTCATGTTAGGAACATGGTCTGCCTATCTCAGAGATCACAAGCAAAATCCAGTAAGTATTACTGCCACACTGCACCCATAACAATACGCTTACAGTCAGACATGGAATATTATTAATGCTGTGATTCAATTAATAACCCAATTACAATACACATAAACGAAACGCGTATATTTGTTGAAGTGTGTTGCATTTGATAGATTTACATGTACTGACTATATATGTGCACTCATAAGATCATCATCTGGTCATGCTGACTGCAGTGAATGTGAATCTAAAGACATTTTTTTGTGAAAGTGTGCACCATCCAATGTGAATTTGTTTTGACTTGAGCTTAGTTTATTTGTTTAACATGACTTTAAATCATTTTTATTTAATTTTTTTAGGAATAATCTTCCCTCTCCTCATCTTGATTGCTGTCGAGTTAGTGCAACCAACTATGTCATGCAAGAATGAAAACTGCAGCCGGCTTCTTCACAATAGTCTCAAGCTCACTAGATTAACCAGCAAAAAGACGGCAGAGCTCTTAGGAACCTATGTAAGTACTCTCTTTCTACAGTTACAATAAGTAGCAATGCAAATGACGTTTACATCAATAATCCTAGTTTGGGTTGTGATTGGTATAAGAAAGAGGAGATGCTCTGACAATACATGCCTAATATGGTCAGCAGTTGCTTGGGTGGTTTCCACATCCAATGAGGTGATTCCTTTCATTGATAAAACTGGTTAGTTTTGAGAGTGGGTGGGAGTCTGTGGGTAAGTGGGAAGTGTAAATGTAGCTATTTGACAGTATATATTGTGCATAAAGTGTGGAAATGAGTCTTTCAACAGAATTATTCATGGTCATATGTATTCAAAATAGCAAAAGACACTGAATGGGGCTAGTTGTCACAGAGTGGGTTTTTAAATAAATAAATAAATAAATAAATAAATGCAATTCTGTCTAAGCCAGTGGTTTTCAACCAAGGGGCCGTGGCTTAAATAAATAAGACAAACAAAGAAAATATGAAGATATTTCTCAATTGAATTCACCCCCTGAAAGGTTTTTTTTTTTTTTTTTTTTGTGTGTGTGTGAAAAACATAGGTAAAAGAGGTAGCCTACTTTTAAAAGTGTGATTTCTAGATGTGAAAAAGTAATGTAAATTAATAATATCTTATAACTCCAAGGGCATTTTTATAATAAATATTTTTTTTTTCTTCTTATGCCAAGCTCTAAAATATATTATTTTTATTTAGAAATTATGAAAACAATTTTCCTAATCCTTATCCTGTAAATCAAGTCATGGGGTTATTAAATATGTTGTGGAAAGTGGGGTCTTGGAATCAAACAGGCTGAGAGCCACTGGTCTAGGCACATGCCTTTAAGCCTTGTCTACGGAAAAACTACTGAACACGTCCATCATTATTGGCCAAAAAAAAAAAAAGATTTTTTTAATAACAGTGGGGCATGTTGTCACATAGGAACCTGACATTAAATATATAGCCTTAATTCTGTTCACTGGATTAGCCAAGAGCATTGCCCAAGACAATATTGGAATTTAATATAAAGGATAAATTTGTAAGGATAAAATAGATTGTAAAAAACATACAAAACTTTATAGTTCTTATAGACTTATGTCTTCTCTCATTCAGAAAGCCAGTCAAGGAGACTCTACAGACCTGATCTGTGATATGCAAATGGACAATGTTCCAGAATCAACAATCTCCGGCCAGACTATATCGGAGCGCATCTTGAGTGTTTACACCCGCCTGAAAGAGTTTCTGCCTCACATGCAGACAGTTATGGAGCAGCAGAAAGACTTCAATCCTCCAACCAACCCTGTGGCAGAGGGGCTTAACATGATGATTACACATGTTCGCCACACTGCTCTGAGAGTGAACTGTCTCTTACAAATCCTCCAACCAAATATACCCATTCCTGAGCCAGCTGAAAGGCCAACGGGAATTCCCCCTGCACAAAATATTTTCCAGCAGAAGGCCTATGGATGCATTGTCCTGTCTCGGCTTCAGGAGCTCCTTAGCAAAGCAGTTCAAGAACAAAAGTCTCTTAGGGGGAAAAGTCTCTTGTGCAGAAAAAGGACAAAAAATTTCTTCTGAGACATAAAACGATGTTGATGTTTTAATATTAATATTTATTTTGGTTAATCTATGTTGAAAAGATGTCCTGTGGAGTGTTTGTTTTATGTAATATTTATTAATGTAATTTATTTCTGCCCTGCATACTTTATCCATATATGTAGACAAAAAAAGTTTTTTTTTTTAACTTCCATTTGGACTAGAATGGAAAATCTTATTTGGATGTCATGGACTGCCATGGTTCCTTTATTATTTGACAGTAAAAAAAAAAAAAAAACACTTGATTCAGTTATGAAGCATCAGCTGTCATCAGAACTGTATACAATATGGCTGGATGTGGAGCATTTTGCCATTCAGGAAAGAAGGCTCAAAAAATTCTTAGCACTTACTCAGGATTTCTTAACAGCACTCTATGAGGTCATGCATGTTGTCAGAGACAATTGTTTTGATTATAAAGAAATTTGCAGTGATAAACTGTGATGTCACACGTTAGCCATATTGGCTTTTGTGGTCTGTGCTAACATAGCATGACCTGAATAACCTTGTAAATGTATATGTACTTTTTGAGACAGCTTTGAGTTGAGACCATTTTAGAAGTCAGGAAGTGCAAGAGACTGATATCAGCCCATAATGACGCATTCATTTCACCACATCAGAAAGGGGAAAAAACTGACTAGCTGTCTCCCCTGTCACAAGGTATAAGTGTGTTTGTGTCCATGTGAGTGAATCTCAAGCCATTTGCTTGAAAGTTTACATTCTTTGGTTAGTATATTTCACTCAGCAAAGCTATGAATGCTTTCTATAGCTATCAGTTATAAATTATGAATGTATGTAATTATTTTGATACTTATTTATATAAAAACTATGTACATTATGTCATGGTATAAATCACTTTGCATTCATATCTTCAAAATAAACTAAACTTAAGGAAACTTCTGTTCTTGTACTTACACTGTGTACAAATGTTGCAAAGTTGCACACATGGACATGCAGAAATGCTTCTTCCTTTCTTTCCATTTAGTATATTGCTGACACTTTAAATGACAACAAAATCAAAGCATGAACACTAATATGAATTTCATAATAGTTCATAGTATCATATCATACCAAACAACATGCAAAACAACACAGCCACTAAGGATACAAAGCATCCGTAATTATTGTTAAATGTTTCATCTGATCTATTCATTTTATGTTGTGATGGCAGTCAAAAAAATGCCATTTCAGGCACTTTGCCCTAGTCACACGCTTATGTGGAAATGGAAGTAGGAAGATTCATTATAGGTCAAGTTCTGCATGGCAATGTTTTTAAGGAAAAACAGGGAGGGGAGCTTTATCAGCATTTCCCCCCATTTTGTTAAATGTCTTATATTATATTGTCTGTTAATATTGCAACTGGAAAAAGCAAAATGCATTGACATTTTTACATTCATCTCAATTAAACATTTAGAGGCATGATCATGCTGAATCAGGGGAGGCCCTTCCCAACACAATACTACGTCAGAAGGTTAGCGATGCAAAAAGTGTCATGGTATGGTATGCTGCAGGGTCATGATATTCATGCAGTAATTCTACCATGGATCCACCAAACCCATATTCATGAAACGGCCAGATGATAAAATGGCTGAAAATTGCAGTTCATCCTTGCTCTCACCTGATTTTGCAGGGTAGGAGTACATTTGTGATGAAGAATGCCTAAAAAAGTAAATGTTTAGCGCTTTAGCCCCTGTAATTGGTACTTAAGGACTTTTATGAATTAGAAATGCAAGTTTTCCAACAAAAAAACAAAAAAAAATTCCCCATCTCTTTTTAGTGGAAAACAGGTTTATGCAGACAAAATTATCTGGGGATCCACCAAACTCTATCATCATACTGCAAGATTATCCAGAGAGCATTTTCCACTTGTTCATAAAGGTTGTAGTAGGCCTAATCCCTTTCTAATGAACACTTGACATTGTGCATAATGATCTCTAGAAGCTGAATGGTCCTGGAAACTTCTGTCCTGAACAAGAGCTGCATTTTGTTCATTCAAAACAGTTAAAACAGCCACAGTGATATTTGTTATGAGACATTGCATCAAACTTCCTGATGTCTAACAAAGTTGATTTCTGTAGAAACACAGATGGGTTTTTTGTAACAGTGCCACGCTTACTAACAAAGGGAGTGGCACATTCATGAAACAAGAAAAAAAGAGTAGTGGGTCACAGAGTCTTTCACAGGTAGCTTGTGGTGGGGAAGACCCCCTAATCAAATAATTTACAATCAAAACAGGTGCTCATGTGAGAACTTCTTTCTGTCTTGTGTTGGCAACCTCACTTGACACACTTTCACACGAAATATGAAAGTGATCATGGCCTTTTTACTGTCAAATACTGAAGAGATCTGAGAAATGCTTTGAATTGTTTCAGTTGGGGAAAAAACAGTGCATTACAAAAAGTGTTGCAAGATGCCGTTTTATTGTGGTAAATGCAAGTTGCAGATTCAATACACCGTAATTGCATGAAGAGTCTTTTTTCCGTTTTAAGGTTAACAGAAGAAACATTCATTCATTTCTTCATTCTGAGACATTTTTTGCCCTTTCACGCAGAGTAAATTCTAGTTTCATTTTTGCAACTACAAAAACGCTTTATGCAAAACAAAACTACATTTGCATAATGCATGCACAATTTATAACTGCTAACAGAGCACAACTTGAGCTCTATGTCTCAAAGTTTATTACTGAAATATACGTGGCTGCTGATATTGATTAAAGGTCTTTGGTGTCCACTAGCAGTTACAGATCATCAATGCCATGGTGTCATTATTTGTTTTTGAATATTTTGTATTGTTTATAATGTAATTTTGTTGATAAACTTCTAGTTGCCCTTGCAAGGACAGGCTGAAACTTGCTTATTAGTTGTACATAAACCTGAGTATTTCTATATCCACTGACACAAACAAAGCTGTTACATTAGCAATATCTGCTGGTTGATAAGAGTAACTGCAGTTCTTTATTTCAGATTATAGATAGTAGTTTTATTTTATTAGTATTAATGCAGATCACACATAAAAGGAGCACACAAAATATTGCTATTGCTATATCAGTGTCAATAATCAAATGTTCTATTCAGTATTAATACTGAAGTGCGTTTGGTTATAAGCATTCAACATTGCATTTTTTTTATTTTTAATAGGAGGGTGTATACAAGTCAAATAAATAAATAAATAAATAAATGCCTGCATAGTATTAATTGTATTGGACCATAATTATGTAATATGTGCATGCAAAGCCAGGAGTTTCAGATTTCAAGATACTTTCTTTCTTATAGCTTTTTAACTTAACTTTTCTTTAACTTTTTAACTTTTAACGTGTAAAATGCACGTTCTGAGCTTCCTATAAATAGTTCATAGAACTAGAGATCTATCCAAACAATTCTAAACTGACCTCATCTAATAAAGTGCGTACTTTACTAGAAAGTATACATTTAACCAGCAGTATTTAGACAGAATGTTATTTGCACAATACAGTTGTGTCCATGTTTAAGAAGCGAATGTGCATTGTCGTCTCGATTTCAACTCCTTTAAGAATCTGTTGAGCAGGAAACAAGGAAAAAGAGTGAAGGCTGGTTAAAAAAGGCAAGTCTTATGAGTTCAGACCATACAATGCCTTATGTTTACACACGTTGTTTGTGATGATGTTTAATGCAAATACAAAGTAGTGTATTTGCTTCAAAAATAATGGTAAATTAGACCATCTGGATTGTGCATAAAAATATATAAATTTACAAACCTTCAAAAACTGCTCAAATGTTATTCCTTCAAAGAACTCATCAGGTGCCTGGTAAAAACACACAAAGAACAGAGAGATTAGCAAGAGATTTTGTGTGCGTGTTGTGTGTGTGTGTGCGCGCACTTGTTTAACTATGCCTGTGAGGGCCAAATGACCTCACTTATATGCGTAAAAAAAATGCATGTTTATGTAAATTTTTTAAGGGTTATAAATTGGCCAAATCATGCTTGTATTTAAATCTAGTGTTTTGCACAGGTTTTGTGAGGGTTAAGGGTCAAGTTGTGTCTGTTCTTACTAATATAGTGAAATGTTTTGTAAATATGAGTTTCCTAGTTAAAGGTTCGACATTAATGCCCTCTAAAGTCGTTTTTACCACTGGGAAGCTCTAAGATAATTTTGATACCCAAGTTTCTGAGATGGGAGGGCCACAAACTTTAAACATTGACTTTAAAAAGATTTTCCCAATAAATAAACAAGAATAAACCTGGTGTCCTCCATGATTTCTGTTCTTTCCGACAACAAGGTGAGTGAGTGTGAGTGAGTGAGGGTGGGTGAGTGACTTACTGAGGGTGGGTGAGCGAGTGACTGAGGGTGGGTGGGTGAGTGACTGAGGGTGGGTGAGTGACTGAGGGTGAGCGAGTGACTGAGGGTGAGTGAGTGACTGAGGGTGGGTGAGTGAGTGACTGAGGGTGAGTGGGTGAGTGAGTGAGTGACTGAGGGTTGAGTGACTGAGGGTGGGTGAGTGAGTGACTGAGGGTGGGTGAGTGAGTGACTGAGGGTGGGTGGGTGAGTGACTGAGGGTGGGTGAGTGATTGAGTGAGTGAGTGACTGAGGATTGAGTGAGTGACTGAGGGTGGGTGAGTGAGTGACTGAGGGTGGGTGGTTGAGTGACTGAGGGTGGGTGGGTGAGTGACTGAGGGTGGGTGGGTGAGTGACTGAGGGTGGGTGGGTGAGTGACTGAGGGTTGAGTGACTGAGGGTGGGTGAGTGAGTGACTGAGGGTGGGAGGTTGAGTGACTGAGGGTGGGTGGTTGAGTGACTGAGGGTGGGTGAGTGAGTGACTGAGGGTGGGTGGGTGAGTGACTGAGGGTTGAGTGACTGAGGGTGGGTGAGTGAGTGACTGAGGGTGGGAGGTTGAGTGACTGAGGGTGGGTGGTTGAGTGACTGAGGGTGGTTGAGTGACTGAGGGTGGGTGAGTGAGTGACTGAGGGTGGGTGAGCGAGTGACTGAGGGTGAGCGAGTGACTGAGGGTGGGTGAGCGAGTGACTGAGGGTGGGTGAGTGAGTGACTGAGGGTGGGTGAGTGAGTGACTGAGGGTGGGTGGGTGAGTGAGTGAGTGACTGAGGGTTGAGTGAGTGACTGAGGGTGGGTGAGTGAGTGAGTGACTGAGGGTGGGTGAGTGAGTGACTGAGGGTGGGTGAGTGAGTGACTGAGGGTGGGTGAGTGAGTGACTGAGGGTGGGTGAGCGAGTGACTGAGGGTGGGTAAGCGAGTGACTGAGGGTGTTTCTGAGATGGGAGGGCCACAAACTTTAAACATTGACTTTAAAAAGATTTTCCCAATAAATAAACAAGAATAAACCTGGTGTCCTCCATGATTTCTGTTCTTTCCGACAACAAGGTGAGTGAGTGTGAGTGAGTGAGGGTGGGTGAGTGACTTACTGAGGGTGGGTGAGCGAGTGACTGAGGGTGGGTGGGTGAGTGACTGAGGGTGGGTGAGTGACTGAGGGTGAGCGAGTGACTGAGGGTGAGTGAGTGACTGAGGGTGGGTGAGTGAGTGACTGAGGGTGGGTGGGTGAGTGAGTGAGTGACTGAGGGTTGAGTGACTGAGGGTGGGTGAGTGAGTGACTGAGGGTTGAGTGACTGAGGGTGGGTGAGTGAGTGACTGAGGGTGGGTGAGTGAGTGAGTGACTGAGGGGGGGTGAGTGAGTGAGTGACTGAGGGTGGGTGAGTGAGTGAGTGACTGAGGGTTGAGTGACTGAGGGTGGGTGAGTGAGTGACTGAGGGTGGGTGGGTGAGTGACTGAGGGTGGGTGGGTGAGTGACTGAGGGTGGGTGGGTGAGTGACTGAGGGTGGGTGGGTGAGTGACTGAGGGTGGGTGAGCGAGTGACTGAGGGTGAGCGAGTGACTGAGGGTGGGTGGGTGAGTGACTGAGGGTGGTTGAGTGAGTGACTGAGGGTGGGTGAGTGATTGAGTGAGTGAGTGAGTGACTGAGGGTGGGTGGGTGAGTGACTGAGGGTGGGTGAGTGAGTGACTGAGGGTGGGTGAGTGATTGAGTGAGTGAGTGACTGAGGATTGAGTGAGTGACTGAGGGTGGGTGAGTGAGTGACTGAGGGTGGGTGAGTGAGTGACTGAGGGTGGGTGGTTGAGTGACTGAGGGTGGGTGGGTGAGTGACTGAGGGTGGGTGGGTGAGTGACTGAGGGTGGGTGAGCGAGTGACTGAGGGTGAGCGAGTGACTAAGGGTGGGTGGGTGAGTGACTGAGGGTGGGTGAGGGTGGGTGAGTGAGTGACTGAGGGTGGGTGAGTGAGTGACTGAGGGTGGGTGGGTCAGTGAGTGAGTGACTGAGGGTTGAGTGACTGAGGGTGGGTGAGTGAGTGACTGAGGGTGGGTGAGTGAGTGAGTGACTGAGGGTGGGTGAGTGACTGAGGGTGGGTGAGTGAGTGACTGAGGGTGGGTGAGTGAGTGACTGAGGGTGGGTGAGCGAGTGACTGAGGGTGAGCGAGTGACTGAGGGTGGGTGAGCGAGTGACTGAGGGTGGGTGAGCGAGTGACTGAGGGTGGGTGAGTGAGTGACTGAGGGTGGGTGAGTGAGTGACTGAGGGTGGGTGGGTGATTGAGTGAGTGACTGAGGGTTGAGTGACTGAGGGTGGGTGAGTGAGTGACTGAGGGTGGGTGAGTGAGTGAGTGACTGAGGGTGGGTGAGTGAGTGACTGAGGGTGGGTGAGTGAGTGAGTGACTGAGGGTGGGTGAGTGAGTGACTGAGGGTGGGTGAGTGAGTGACTGAGGGTGGGTGAGTGAGTGACTGAGGGTGGGTGAGTGAGTGACTGAGGGTGGGTGAGTGAGTGAGTGAGTGACTGAGGGTTGAGTGACTGAGGGTGGGTGAGTGAGTGACTGAGGGTGGGTGGGTGAGTGACTGAGGGTGGGTGGGTGAGTGACTGAGGGTGGGTGGGTGAGTGACTTACTGAGGGTGGGTGAGCGAGTGACTGAGGGTGGGTGGGTGAGTGACTGAGGGTGGGTGAGTGACTGAGGATGAGTGAGTGACTGAGGGTGGGTGAGTGAGTGACTGAGGGTGGGTGGGTGAGTGAGTGAGTGACTGAGGGTTGAGTGACTGAGGGTGGGTGAGTGAGTGACTGAGGGTTGAGTGACTGAGGGTGGGTGAGTGAGTGACTGAGGGTGGGTGAGTGAGTGAGTGAGTGACTGAGGGGGGGTGAGTGAGTGAGTGACTGAGGGTGGGTGAGTGAGTGAGTGACTGAGGGTTGAGTGACTGAGGGTGGGTGAGTGAGTGACTGAGGGTGGGTGGGTGAGTGACTGAGGGTGGGTGGGTGAGTGACTGAGGGTGGGTGGGTGAGTGACTGAGGGTGGGTGAGCGAGTGACTGAGGGTGAGCGAGTGACTGAGGGTGGGTGGGTGAGTGACTGAGGGTGGTTGAGTGAGTGACTGAGGGTGGGTGAGTGATTGAGTGAGTGAGTGAGTGACTGAGGGTGGGTGGGTGAGTGACTGAGGGTGGGTGGGTGAGTGACTGAGGGTGGGTGAGTGAGTGACTGAGGGTGGGTGAGTGATTGAGTGAGTGAGTGACTGAGGATTGAGTGAGTGACTGAGGGTGGGTGAGTGAGTGACTGAGGGTGGGTGAGTGAGTGACTGAGGGTGGGTGGTTGAGTGACTGAGGGTGGGTGGGTGAGTGACTGAGGGTGGGTGGGTGAGTGACTGAGGGTGGGTGAGCGAGTGACTGAGGGTGAGCGAGTGACTAAGGGTGGGTGGGTGAGTGACTGAGGGTGGGTGAGGGTGGGTGAGTGAGTGACTGAGGGTGGGTGAGTGAGTGACTGAGGGTGGGTGGGTCAGTGAGTGAGTGACTGAGGGTTGAGTGACTGAGGGTGGGTGAGTGAGTGACTGAGGGTGGGTGAGTGAGTGAGTGACTGAGGGTGGGTGAGTGACTGAGGGTGGGTGAGTGAGTGACTGAGGGTGGGTGAGTGAGTGACTGAGGGTGGGTGAGCGAGTGACTGAGGGTGGGTGAGCGAGTGACTGAGGGTGAGCGAGTGACTGAGGGTGGGTGAGCGAGTGACTGAGGGTGGGTGAGTGAGTGACTGAGGGTGGGTGAGTGAGTGACTGAGGGTGGGTGGGTGATTGAGTGAGTGACTGAGGGTTGAGTGACTGAGGGTGGGTGAGTGAGTGACTGAGGGTGGGTGAGTGAGTGAGTGACTGAGGGTGGGTGAGTGAGTGACTGAGGGTGGGTGAGTAAGTGACTGAGGGTGGGTGAGTGAGTGACTGAGGGTGGGTGAGTGAGTGACTGAGGGTGGGTGAGTGAGTGACTGAGGGTGGGTGAGTGAGTGAGTGAGTGACTGAGGGTTGAGTGAGTGAGTGACTGAGGGTTGAGTGACTGAGGGTGGGTGAGTGAGTGACTGAGGGTGGGTGGGTGAGTGACTGAGGGTGGGTGGGTGAGTGACTGAGGGTGGGTGAGCGAGTGACTGAGGGTGAGTGAGTGACTGAGGGTGGGTGGTTGAGTGACTGAGGGTGGGTGGTTGAGTGACTGAGGGTGGGTGGGTGAGTGACTGAGGGTGGGTGAGCGAGTGACTGAGGGTGGGTGGGTGAGTGACTGAGGGTGGGTGGGTGAGTGACTGAGGGTGGGTGAGTGAGTGACTGAGGGTGGGTGGTTGAGTGACTGAGGGTGGGTGGTTGAGTGACTGAGGGTGGGTGGGTGAGTGACTGAGGGTGGGTGGGTGAGTGAGTGAGTGACTGAGGGTTGAGTGACTGAGGGTGGGTAAGTGAGTGACTGAGGGTTGAGTGACTGAGGGTGGGTGAGTGAGTGACTGAGGGCGGGTGAGTGAGTGACTGAG